CTTGAGGTCGGGCGGCGATAGAGGATAGACCTCGAAATTTGTTGGGCATAACAGTGATGAAATGTGAATCATTTGACGCGGTTTGCAAGGAAAGTCTTTCCGTGATACTTCCCACCACAATCTTGTTAATTGCAATCTGGTCCACCACTGAACAGGGTCTGGCGATCACCGCAGGTAGCCTTGCAACGCTCCGCCCACTCTTCAGACTCGTAGGATACCGACTCGGCTTTACATCCATGGGACCCTCGCAACTCCACGATTCCGAACGCGGCGCCCCGTCTGCTATGGGTGGCAACATCAAGAACGTCAGCAACAGTAGCTCAAGCCGGGGCCAACGACGCGGCCCTTTCAGTCTTACCACCTTCATGTCCAAGGATGAAAGCGAGAGTCATGAGATGGGCAGCGGCAGCGAACAAGAACGAAACCAGCAGCAGAAGATGTCTTCAAGTAAGCGCGCTCGCGGCTGGGAGTCGACAGGGAGGCGGGATAATGAGAGCGAGACTGAACTAACTTTCGAAGCCTCAAAAGAGTCGGTGGGGAGTGACCGCGACAACATAGTCGTTGTTCAAACCTTCTCTTTGCGGGAAGATCGATTGTAAACGTTGTACACATGCTTACTGTAAACGATGAATCTAATATTCAACGCCTCACGAATGGGAATTGGGAGATGGTATATATAAAACTTAATTGAGCAACATGTATATGAAGAAATCCTGCAAACGCGATCCAATTGCCATCATGCAAATTTCAGGTCCATCAGACCAATCTGATGTCTTACCTACTTGACAGGAGATGCATCAGATGAACCACTCTCCATATACCCAGGCACATGGTTGGTATGCACTTGCGATCTTAACTCAGCAGCAAGCCATGATTTTATGTTCTCCTGAACATAGCTGGAAGCTCATTGTCTCAATCTCGACAAGCCACTCAGTCGGGAACATTGAGGGCAAGTAGCCAAGATGCAGGCACACGAACTACACCGGGGACCGCAGCAACAAGGCACAGGAAAAAGTGATTTAACAAATCGACCCTCAGGTTACTTGAATTCTGCTAATAGAGCTACATATAATCTTTAAGGTCTTCCCCCAAGATTGCCCGCGCCACAATGAGCGAATATCCTTGTGTTGTTCATTCGTCTAGGCTCCAGACCAACCACGGCTTCTGCAGCCACGATTACGACAACCATAGGGAGCCTGTGTGATCATGCCAAGTAGAGAGACATTTGGTTTTGCAAGGGAAACTTCGACGCAAGAAGACTCGCAGTTCTCTTTTCCCAGCAACGCAAGCCGTCTCGCAAGTTGTCGCAATACGCATATTGTCATCCGACAGCAATACTGTACTTGGTGTTGCACGGTGAGGCTGGCTATAAGCATCACTTGTACTACAAACCAATCACTCTGGCTACAGCGATACGCCAATCCTTGAAATTTTGGCAGATTGTCGATCCGAAATAACAAGTTGATTTGGTTGCCACTGCAAATCATTGCCGTCCACACCAACAGCATTGCTATGCAGTGCTGAAATGAGTGTCAAGCACACCAGCTGGAGTACACTCAGGGCCGCCTCGCAATGTCGCCTCAGAACCACGAACAACGCAAGCGTCATTGTTTTCCTCGTTCTCGTTAGACTGGACACAAATTGCTCCTAGGACGTTCGAGAGTAGTTGATTCGTCCAAATGATTCTCTAAATATACTTCCCTAACGCTCTATTTCTTGAAGTGGTTCGTCTTTGGGTCTCAGGACCGCAACTACATCCTTGTTCTAGTCGACGGGGACATGGCATGCTACATCCGATCCCTTCAATGGCGAGAATCACTCTCAAGAGTTTTGAAACTTGGTCGCTAGTGTGCAGTGTTGATATCAAGTCTCGTCCTTCATGGATACGGCATTGTGTTGGGGCCTCGTCGGGCCAGCTGGCACTCCATTCTGTACTGGCCTCAGAAGGCGGTTCAGAGAGCTCTGGTTGACCTGCGATAAAGGTGTCACTGGCGTCAATGGTGTTGTCGAGGTTCTATCAGCATTTCCCATGCTCTGACCTCGCGCCAGAACAGCCAATGAGTTCTTGAGCGCATTCAACTGGGCCTGAAAATCGTTACTTTCGATTGCGGGCTGACGGCCGGGATGAGGCTGCTGCTGTGTCGATGTTGTCTCCTTTTGGCGTTGAAGCTCGGCCTCGATCCGATCCATTCTCTTGGCCTGTTCTTTCTTTGCTTCCGCCTGTTCGGCAACGTGGTTCGTGAGGCGTGTCTCCACCATTGCGATGCGATTGTTAAGAGTGCCCAGGTGCTGATCTAAGGAGGTTTTGCTAACATCAACGAGTGTTCTGCAGTTATTGATCAAGGTTGTGCTGATAGCGATAGCTTCCTCCATCTTCAAAATTCGAGGCATGTAATCAGCATTCGGTACTTGGTCGGCGATGGCTCTTTCTATCCTCTCAAGGCGGTCTTCAAAGCCCTCTGGACGCGGCAGGGTTGGGTCAGCTCGCGCGCCCATCCGTTCTTCCAATGCGGCTAGCCTTGTCTCGGTCCGGATGCTCTGTTGAGTATCTACCCCTTTTCGATCTTCTGATCCTATTCTGACGGTTTTTTTGCTTGTCTCGGAAGCTTGAGACGACTCTGTGTTGGAAAGAAGACCGTGTTTGACTTCCTTCATCTCTCGGCTCAACGTCTTCAAATCGCCTTCGAAGCTTTCGATAAGGCCATGCTGGTCTTGCTGCCGTTGTTGAATCTTTTGGCTCGATTTGCGACATGTCATAATCTCCGCAACAAGGCTGTTTATCTGGCTACTGAGCATATCCAACTTTTGTAGGGCATCTTGGCACTTTGAAGCAGTGAGCAGGTTGAGCTGGTCGTGTGCTTTTCGGATATCTCTTGAAAGCTCCTCAGATTCCATAACGAGGCTTGCTTGTTGTTTCAAGAGCTGCATGGTCTCGTCGTTTTGTCCAACTCTGGTCTCGAGCAGTCGGAGTAGCTCATCGTCATACTGCGACTGTTTCTGGTGTCCGATGGTGGCTAGGTCGTTCAAATCCGAGTCATATGTCTTGTGTTGTTCTTCAGCCAAATCCTGACTTGCATCAAGCATCGAGCCTGCTGCCCCATGGTGAGTGGGTGTTCGTCGATGGTCTTGGCTGCTCATTACTTGGCTAGAGGGCTCCTCGTGACAAGGGGTGAGCTGCCAGTTCAGTCGCGGGGAGCATGACGGCGATTCCGGGAGGCATTGCCTTTTCAAGGAGTCGGGTGCATCAGGGCTAGGTTTCCTTTTCCGCCCTTGGCTTTGGATGAGGTCATCGATAGCGCTTTCTGAAGCACCCTGAGTAGACGACTGCCTGATGTTATCGTAGCCGAAAGAAGCTCTGCGTTGCCTATCCGGTGTTGTCGTCGAGATGCTTGGGAGGCTCTTGCCAGAAGGTATCATCTGGAAGTGGGCACTGGTGGAAGAGTCCCTACGTTGACGCTGGCCCGATGGTACTGATATGCGCGAAGCCAGATCCTTGCCGATGCTGCGTATGCTTCCGCCTCTTATTTGAAAGCTCGAAGGTGTGCCCTTCTTGATGGGGAACGCCCCATACGTGGGAGGATTATCTGGATCGATGATAGACATCCGGTCATGCTTCATCAGCTCTGACCATGACTCCTCAACGTACTTCCACTCTTCTTGAAGCTCCTGGGTTGTCGGCTGGGCACCGACTGGCGGGTCAGGATCCCGGGAATTCCACGCGTCGATGAGATTACTCAGGAAGTTATGGCGCTTCTTGTGGATCTTGGGGGTTTCCAGGTATACGCGGCGACGATCCGAGTAAATTTCTGCGAGGTCCTCGACCATTCGAGAGCTGGCATTAGACACACCCCAGTGATCGCGTATGAAGTCCCAAAAGCGGATGCGATCGAAGGCCAGATGTTGACATCGTAACAGAAGCCGGAAAAGAATAACGAGGTTAAGGTGTATGCGCCCTTGACGATCGGACAAGGTCTTCAACTCGGCAAATCTGTCAAATCTCTTTGCATTGCCAGGATGAAGAAGAATCGCTTTAGACAGGGCCACTGAATTCGGCCACGGGGGAAGCGGGAGCGAGACGGCTGTGATCCAGAATACGTCGTTGTAGTCCCCTTTCCCCACCATGGTGTAATATGAATGGTTCAAGGCCCGCGAGGGTATCGCCAGGCTAGACTCTAGTGGGGAATGCAGATGATGATATCGAGAAAGAGTGTGGGCATGGAGAGCCGACGTCAAGAAATCTGCGTGCGTGACACTGACGCGGAAGGGACGGGGAGCAAGGATGGAGGGGCCCTGACCGCGCAGAAGCCGAGGACGCGGAACCTGGGAGATACCGGCACCGCCGCGCGTGGTGGTTTCAGGGGTCCAACCAGAAGGTTCAACGCTCTGTGGCCCTGTGGAGTCGACTCGCCGAGGATTTGGCTGTCAGTGTTCTGGAACGAACTATTCGTAAGGTACCTAACCGTTCTCTTGTCACCGATGGGTGTTACCTAAGCCAGACTTCCCTGGACTCACCCAACTCATTCATTCTCACATTTCGTCACACTCTCAGTCTCACTCTCACTCTCGCTTTCAGTCACACCCTCACTGCTGCTCTGGAACTAAGCAATTTCATATACCTAGTAGGCGACACCTCTGGGTGTTTGCTCATACTCCGTTCTCATTTTTCACATCATCATTCCCACCGACATCATCAACATCATTTCCTCAACGCCACTTCAAGTCTCCAATCGCATTGCTCACCAGCACGACCCTCATTCGAGATGTTCAGCCCATAACCAGCACACTCCGGAAGCGCACCTTATTAGAAATCATGTGTTCCGAAGCCTTCTTCGCGTCGTCCAGTGAGAATCTCTCAACCATGCACTTAATGCCGTGTGTTGCTGCAAAGTCAATGGCCTCCTCCGAGTCCATCTGATGTCCACTGGGCCATCCACAAACCGACTTGCCTCCAACGATGAGGTCAATCGTGTCGACCTCCAATCCTCCGACAGGCGCCAAAACGCACAGCTTGCCGCCTGGCTGCAAACCACCGGTAAGCGGCGAGATGATCTTGGGGTTGGGTGCTGTCGCAAGGATCAAAGCAGCACCTCCAAGCTTCTTGAGCTCCTTGACGGGGTCTGTTGCGCTCGAGTCGATGTACTCATGCGCACCCAACTTCATCGCAAAGTCCTTCTTGGTGGACCCGGAACTCAGGACCACGACTTTATAACCCATGCGACTGGCGTACTGCACGCCAAGATGACCCAAGCCGCCGAGACCCTGGATGGCAACGAGATTGCCTTGCTCGATTTGCATCTTGCGAATGCTGTTGAAAACGGTAACACCGGCGCAAAGAAGTGGTGCTGCTTCCGCAGGATCAACGTCCTTTGGCACCCGGACTGCCGACTCGGCACGGAGCAGCACGTACTCGGCGTACCCACCATCCCGGAACACGCCATTGATGGTCTCGTTATCACAGGCTTGGAAGAACCCCTTTTGGCACTGTCGACACGTTCCGTCATGCCCTGCATTTCACCATTAAAAAGAGCTCTTGACGTACAAATGCATGAGAACTCTGGAACAGACATACCTCCGTGCCAAGCACCTCCAACACGCTCTCCGCCTGTGAACCGGCTCACGCCTTCGCCCACTGCCACCACGTCGCCAATGATCTCATGGCCTGGGATCCGTGGGAAAACGTCTCCGAAACCTCCTTCTGCCATGCCTACATCGGAGTGGCATACCCCGCATGCTAGAACTTTGACTAGGACGAGGCCGGGACCTGGTTGTTTCAGTTCCTGGTCGACAATCTTGAGGGGCGCGCTCTTGGACTCGATAACGGCCGCCTTGAAAGTCTTTGGAAGTCCCGACATTGTGAATCGTGATCTTGCAGTCTTGGAAGTTGAGTGTCAGGGTTTGAAACAGAGAGAAAAGATGTGCTGTGAAAGAGAGAGGTTGCCCTTGCGTAGACCTCAACTTGGGGCGGTGCGATGGCCACTACTTATATGCACGCAGGACTAAGGGTAAGAAGTCAGTCTGTGTATCACACACGTCGACTTGACTGGTGCAATGCTGGAATCCACGCTTTCCGAGAGGGTTGGGCAAGTCAAGTCCAGACTTTCAAGCCCCTCATTTGTTTACTAATAAACAAGATAGCTCCAGAGACCCAGTACCCAGACGTCTGCACCGCTGATAAGAACTCCTGGCTGCAGTCATCTCCTGTAGGCTTCGCATGTCTCATAGGATGCTTCCAGAGAAGCTTGGGTTGTCGGTAAGACTAGGACGGATTTAGAAGAGGGGTTAAAGTGTGGTGGCGCTGCTACCATGGCTACGATGACATCAACAAGACTCAATTCAACCCTCATGGATGTGAGCCCCTCTCATAGCTCCAGGATAGAGCTGGTTGTGCAAAGAATATCTTCTACATATGGTAGAGCCATTCTACCCCTACTGTGTAGGATCAGATAGAGTTAATCGGCCGCCCGTTGCTGCCAAGATATGTACGGCCATGACAACGTCACAAATTCCGCGGAGGCCATGGAACCCATGCACGATTTGCTTCTCGGGAATGTCTCTACTTGGCCCTCGTGGCAAGAGCAAATTCATCAACTTGTGGCTGGAGAATCAACTGCGGCTTGGGAGAGATCTCAAGGGAGCCATCGGCAATCGGCGCGCCGAACGCAGGCTTACGTTCCGCGTAACTCCGTCAGCCAATGAAATGTTATTCCTTGTCGGTTTTGCAGGGGCCTTTTTCTCCAAAGCCGACAGATACGGACACGCAAGTCCTCCGTTTCTCGTTCGTACCTTTAGGTAGCCACGGCAGCATACTGGGCGTAAAGGTACCTTGCACAGTATGTTCGTCGCGGAGTTCAATTGCCTCAGCCTTACCGGGGCAAACAAGGATTCGGAACCGTGCCAAAGCTAAGTCGTCAAGCTTTCCTTAGCACGTGTACCGATGAGAGATGTGTAGCAGGCGTGACTCTCCTGAGAGCTCCGATGCAGCCGGTAAGCTATCCACAAGCTGAGCACTGAAGTACCTTTCTCGCGCTTCGCGCCAAACAAAGAACTTTTGATGGCCGTCCGAGAGCAACAAAATGATGGAGAATACTGCACAGTTGCGGAGATAGCAGAGCTCGATCTGATGTACCCTTCCGGAGCCTCCCCACAATTTCGGCCTTCGCGCGCAAAAGGCTACTTGTATGCTGAGCTCGAGCAGCGAAGTCTTGAAGGCTTAGCTCTGAAGCCACGCCTCCTGGGGGTGCAAGTCAGAGTCCCCGAAACTCCATGAATGTGGTCATTGATGGAGTTGATGGATCTTTTGTTGCAATAGCTGAAGCTTGCCTCGGGTATATAAATGACCAAAGCTGCCCACATCCTGTACTTTGTCCTTCGAAACAAACAATAACGGAACATTACTTTAATAAAAGCAATACTTCAGTCACATCACACAATCCAATCACTCAACGTATCAACAGAGCTTCACGTACAAGCAGGCCTAGAAATATAATTAGACCCAGAATGTCTCTCCAAGATAAGGTCATCCTCATCACCGGAGGTTCCAAAGGCATCGGCAAGGCCATCGCTCTTGATGCTGCCGCGCAGGGTGCCAGGATTGTTGTCAACTATAGCAGCGACTCAACCGCCGCCAACGAAGTTGTCAAGGCCATTGGCAGCGACCGCGCTATCGCCGTGCGCGCCGACGGCTCCAAGATGGCCGAGTTGCAGAAGCTCGTGGATGTCACCATCGACAAGTTTGGCAAAATCGATGTGCTGATCCCCAACGCTGCCATCATGCACATGCGCACTGTCGAGAATACTACAGAAGAGGACTTTGATCAAATGTTCAACACCAACGTCAAGGGACCCTACTTCTTGGTACAGGTATGCGATCCAATCCATTCCGGCGTGCCCTTGTGTTCTATAAAACTTACCTTTTCTGAAAAGAAAGCTCTCCCCCACATGTCTGAAGGCGGCCGTATCATTTTCCTCTCAACGACCGTCCTCGCTTCAAGTAGCCTTCCCCCGCCGTACCTGCTCTATGCATCGACAAAGGGCAGTATTGAGCAGATGACCAAATACATGGCCAAGGACCTCGCCAAGAAGGGCATCAACGTCAATGCTATCGCGCCTGGTCCCACCGGGACCGACTTGTTCTACAAGGGCAAGACGGAGGAGATGCTCAAGAACATCACTGCCAGCAGCCCCTACAACAGAATTGGCACACCAGAGGAAATCGCCTCTGTGGCAGTTTTCTTGTCAGGAAAGGAATCATCCTGGGTGACGGGGCAGATTATTCGGGTAAATGGAGGAGCTGCATGAGAAGCATGTAATTAGACAAAGGCTTGCGCATGTAGTGCTAGTCAATGATATAGAATTTCCATGTTCAACGCCTTGGCCTCACTCCCTCGAGGCAACCACTCAATATGCGATCTTGGACGATCTTGGACGCTCTTTCAATATCCCAAAAATCTAAAGTTAAACTGATGGCGCCGCTAGGGATTCTACTGAGCCCCCAAGGCAGCTAGTGCATTGCGCAGCTCCTTTACTGCCGTCGGCACATCTTCAAAGTTGAGCGCAGAAATAGCCCACTTGGCGTGCTTCTGCGCCTTTGGCAAATCCATATCATCCGAAGGTGCACTGCTTGGTGCCCACGAGTTGTGTGAACCGGCAGCCACTGGTGCTCTGGGCTGAGGTACCATCGGCGGTGGCTTGAACTGCTGAGGCGCCGGAGGTGGAGGCGACTTGGTAACACTGGAAGGGGGTATCTGAGGCGGCTGCCACGGCGACGCAGTGTTGGCCGGGCTGAATGATGGGCCGGTCGAGGATGCGGCATAAGGAGAAGGGGCTGACGGCTCGTTTGCCTTGACGGAAGAGTCATTTACGCCGGATTGGCTCAAGGGAGATGGCGGGAACTGTTCGGGAGGGTCAAAGTAGCCCTGAGTCTGTGGTGCCGGCGGGTTGAGGTCGTTTGCCGAAGGCACTGATGGGAGATCGAGCACGCTGGACTGGGCAGGCTCAGGCTCGCTGGGCTCGGTTGTCGGCGCGGACTCTGCCGGTGCCGGTGCCTTTTTGTAAAACTCGGTCTCCGGGTCGTCCTCTACAGACGCAGGCTTTGGGGACGTTAATCCTTGGACATCTGGGTCGTTGGGATCCAGCGCAGGAAGAACATCTTCGGCCGCGGGCTCTTCCTGTTTGGGGTTGGACTCGTTGGGGTCCTTGCCCTCCTTCAAAGCCTTGAGTATCCGAGCAGCGTTCCACTTTGCATATTTGACCTTCTTGAGCGTTTCTTCGTCTACAGGGCCCCAAATATTGCCCAGGAGGAGGAAGGTTGCAGCGGCATCGAAGGTATCGGCGGTTTGCCTAGGTTCGAAGCACGTTAGGAGGCAAGGAAGGTGGTGCTATCGTAGTGAAAAGGGCGCACCTGGTGACGCGATTCGCGCGCATAACCTTCTCTGCCCTGTCGAGAGTATCTTGTGCGAATTGCTCGACATATGCTTGCCCAACTGTGTCGTCGGTGATGGCTTCTTCTTGAGCGTTCTCAGTTTTGGTCTGGCACGGCAACTATTAGTCGCTGACGCACAGCAGCAACGATAACAACATCATCGTCTTGCTAACCTGTTCAAGCCTATCCATAAGGTTTGTCGTGTATGAGAGACTCTCATCGTCGACGTTGTGCAAACCCTTGGCCAGGATTTGGTTGACCACCCAGTATTCGCCTGTGTGTGTGTCTGGTCAGTATCTAGAGCATCCTCCGGCCATGCAGTAGTAATGGAGATGCCCGGACATACACCAGTAAGTCACCACAGGTTTGTGCTGCCGCAGCTGATTTGCGCGATTGATGAATCTCGTGATGTCTGCCTGTCGCAGGCTGTCGGGGATCGGCTCGGCCATGGCTGCGGCGGCGGCGGCTGCAACAAGCAGAAGGAGGAGGGTTCGAAGGGCGCGATGGACAGTATCGGGAAAGGACGCTTTTGATCAGTATCGGGGTCCGGACGAGAGCAAGGGGAAAAACCCTTTTGCTCAGTGACAGCTCACGGGCGCAAAGATGTAGCGGACTTGCGACGAGTGGTGCTGCGCCAAGAGGTAGGAGACATGTATTTCGTATCTTGGAAGCCTTACCGCAGGTGGCAGTATCAGCGGCAACACCACCGTCAACTTTCCCCACACGGCGCACATCACAGCGGGGTGGGAAGGTCACCGGGTACGTACCTGCATCCATCAGGTGGACGACGACCTCAGATTGTGAGGTACTTTTAGGTACGTCCACAGAAGGAAGTACATAAGGTACCTTAGGTACTGCGGCTCGTGGCTGGTGGTGCTCGAATTGTGGCTCAAGCTCAGCAGAGCTAGTGTGGGGTATGTGGCTAGTGCTCAGGCCAGATGCTCCGATTCAATTGACTGGAAATTTCCATGGTTCCATTCCCAGGCCGAATTAAGCCCAAAGGTGAGGGGTTCGCGTCTCACAGTTCCACGCTGGCCTCTTTACGCTGCGAAGAAGCCAACTAAACTTTTATGCTTCCATTTGCTTGCTTTCCCAATTCCATAAATGCAGACAGGGACAGAGCTCACTCACATGGCTGAACCCAGCTCCTTGCTCTGACTTTTTATTCCCACACCTTTTCTCTTATCTCCCGGCTCCCTTTCCTCCCTTCCTCTTTGCCTTCTTCTCCTCTCTCTCTACCTTGCCCATCCACGTCTCCATTGTCTCTGGCGTCACATCACTTGCTGCCGTCCGGCGCACTTCTACTCACCTTGCCCACCCCACACTTCACACCTACAACAGATAAAGTGCATTGCTGCTAAACTTTATCCACCACGATGCATCACCCCACTCTCCTTGCAGCTGGCGCTGCCGTTTTGTCGGCTTTGCCCGGCGCCCACGCTGGCATGTATCCAAAGAGCTCTGCTGTGCTCCAAGTTGATGCCAAAAATTATGACAGCTTGATTGCCAAATCCAACTACACATCGGTAAGACATTTTTCATGGTGTTGTTTACATCAATCAACTTTTTTTCACATGCTTACCTGAGCTTGCCAGATTGTCGAGTTCTATGCTCCCTGGTGCGGTCATTGCCAGAACCTCAAGCCCGCCTACGAAAAGGCTGCCAAAAACCTGAATGGTCTGGCCAAGGTTGCTGCCGTCGATTGCGACGAGGATGCCAACAAGCCTCTCTGCGGTCAGATGGGCGTGCAAGGCTTCCCCACCCTCAAGATTGTGAGGCCTGGCAAGAAGCCTGGCAAGCCCGTTGTCGAGGATTACCAGGGGCCCCGTACTGCCACCGGTATTGTTGAGGCTGTCGTCGACAAGATCACCAATCACGTCAAGCGCGTTACTGACAAGGACCTCGACTCTTTCCTCGAGGGTGACAAGCCCAAGGCAATCCTCTTCACTGAGAAGGGCACCACTAGCGCTCTGCTCCGCAGTGTCGCCATCGACTTCCTCGACGCTGTCACAATTGGTCAGGTCCGCAGCAAGGAGGCAAAGGCTGTCGAGAAATTCGGAGTCAAGTCTTTCCCCGCCCTGGTGCTACTGCCCGGTGGAGACAAGGAACCTATTGTCTACGATGGAGAACTAAAGAAGGATGGGCTGGTGTCGTTCATTTCCCAGGTCGCTTCCCCCAACCCCGACCCCGCGCCCAAGGCCGACAAGAAGAAGGCCGACAAGAAGGCAGAGAAGAAGCCTGAGAAGAAGAGCAAGCCTGCCTCCGAAAAGTCAAGCACCAGCACTGCCGCCGAGCAGGAGGCTACCCCTGAGCCTGAAGCCGCCACCGAGACCCCGTCAACCGAGCAAGCCGCCCCTGTCCTCAACGTCATTCCTCCATTGCCCATTGCCAACACGCCCGGAAGGCTCCTGTCGGAATGCCTCAACACCAAGTCCCACACCTGCGTCCTGGCCTTCGTGCCCTCCAAGGAGAACGAAAAGGCCGAGAAGGCGCTTACCAGTCTGTCAGAGATCGCCCATAAGCACGGCCAGGCCAAGCGCAAGCTGTTCCCCTTCTTCTCTGTTCCCGACGAAAACCCGGCCGCGGCCACTGTCCTCAAGAGTCTTGGCCTTGCTAGCGAGGTTGAGATTATTGCCGTCAACGCACGCCGGAACTGGTGGAGACACTACGAGGGCGATTTCGAAGCGACGAGCGTCGAGAGCTGGATCGATGCTATTCGTCTTGGCGAGGGAGCGAAGAAACAGCTGCCTGATGGATTGGTAGCTCAGGAGATCGAGCCCGAGTCTTCGGAAAGCAGTGCGACCGCCTCTACCGCAGCCACGGATCCTACTGCTGAAACCGAGACGGACGCGCCTAAGGAGACACCATCTGAAGCCCCCGCGCCCCATGATGAGTTGTAAGCATCCGCTTGTCCTCTGAAATCTGCATGAATGGTTAGCTTGGACCGTGTGTACATTAGTTAGTCAATGTGATGGGAGAAATCTGACCATTGCCAATACCGCTGAGCCACTTCTGTGGTTGATGCTGCCTTCCATGCTTCCACTCATGATTCCATTTCCAAGTCCAACCCGGTGCCTTTCTCTACCGTACCTTCTTGTACCATTTGACGGCCCTTCTCCTTGACCACGCGGTCCATAAACTGTCGCACCTGTTTGCATCCATCTACACCAACAGCAAGCATGCCCTCCAACCGGCTGACCTGGACACGGCTTTCACACACCATTACGGCAACACGGTCCGTGAGGCCCAGCGTTCCCACTGTCATGTACGGCAGCTCCTGCTCTTCCTGGGTGTTGAGATCGAGTAGAGGGTCAGCACCATCATCGGCGGCTGCGTATGTAGAGGTCGAGCCGGCAGTGCAAGCAGCAATGTAGTCGGTCATGGGAATGCCAGCATCGATTAGTGCTAGTGTCGAAGCGTTCAGAAGAGCCGCCAAAAGGGAACCGTCCTGCGACAAAACGTGTAGAGAGATGGTGATGCTGCTGTGGGGGAAGAGATGTGTGTGAAGGTTCGCCGAGACAGCTTTGGCAATGGTAGCCTCGAGTTCTTGTGATCGCCTGCAAAGATTAAACGATTAGCCGAGGCAATACGCACATGCACACACTAGATGCACTTACTTGTCGTTGCGGCCTCGCTTCATACGGTCGACAGAGCTGAAGCCGGCGACGACGAGGTTGACAGTAACGGCAGCTTCCTTGGACTGGCCGCCGGCACCCCCGCGACGCTGGGGTTCAGCAGGTCCTGTAACAACGCACATGACCTTTGTGTGGCCCATCTCGAGGTAGCTCGAGCCATCGGCAGCTTCCTGGGTACGGATTTGGGCGTGCAGGCGTCGGAGCTCGTTCCAGCGGCGGCCATCGACGCGCAGGAGCGCCATGGAGTAAGTGGAGGTATCTAGAGGCATGATTGAGCCACCTGCAATTTTCCTGGATGTATATTTGCTCTGAACTCTGTGATCGTAGGTAGAATGACGAATGGAGGGGTTGCGGGCGCAGAAAGTTGTTGACAAAGTGTTGCACAAGGTGGGATGCGAGGCTATTGCGACTGCGACAGAGGGACAAACCCAAAATTTTGGAAAGCGTCAATCCACCGCCTGCCTTTGGCCACGCTGGGAAAGGTGGGATGGTGGGGCCGGGCGGTCGGTGAGACGGCGTCCGGGCCCCGGTCATCTACGTACAGAGCTCGGGCCTCTGAACCCCTTTGGACCCTGGGCTTCCTATGGCCCGCACTGTCCCTCCCGAGATCGCGGGGAAGCTCTCCCATCTTGGTGGTGGGAAGACCAGAGAGGAGGGAGTTTCGAAACTAAAGAAGTAACATCAGACTCGGCATGGACGTTGCAAGTAAATTCGCCAACGGCCAGCTGCCACCTTTACATCGCACGGCTGACTGTGACTGGTAGGAATTGAAAACGCGGGGTAGCCAGAGTCAATGCCATATTTTCTTCTCGCGCTGGAGGTACACTGCATGACTTCGCGTAGACCTTTGAAGAGCGATTTGATGCGGGAAGTAACATGCAATTACTGCGCCCCGAAATCCTTCGTCGTTATTCACGTTTGATGATAAGCACATTCAAATCTCACTCACTGCGGTCATGGATCGATCATCTAGGTTTGAACCTTGGTAATGCTAGTGACCGGTGTATTCGTTCTCATTCCTCGTTATGCTAATATTACAATCTCGTTGCAGGAGGGATGATGGTGTCGGTTGCCTGGAGCAGCACATTGCTCAACCGAAAATTCCATGCCCGCCTTCATGTCCGTGCCACCCAGTCCCGTAAGAAAAGAGCTCAGTATCGTTCGCGAGCTTGCCCAAAGTAAAAGGAAAGTTGATAGTCCACGCCGTTCAATTTCAATAGTCACCATTCAAGCCATGACCAGGACGCCCATATTAGACGTGCTGAACTCGGACGCCGGAGGTACCAAAACCAAGGAATTGGTCGGCTTAACCTCGTCGTCTTCGGGTCCATCAGTCCATCCTCTCTCAGGGCCCCATCTGATCTTCCGGTTGTTCGCCGATGTCACCTCCAGAAGGGCCCGCATCATTCCCCCCGACTTCTTCACACCAGGCCAGGCGTCGAAATAGACGGTGTCGATCCAGGGCATCTGGTTGAATATTTCCGTCAGGAGAGACTGGCTGAAACCTTCATAAAAGCCATCCGACCGGCGAAAGCCGTTAAAGATGCCGTCGCTGGGATCGCATTCGACCAGCACCGTCAAGCGACGGACGTTGACGCACTCGTGGAGGCCCAGAGCTGGCGTCACCACCCATCCTCGCGGCGGTTTACTCCATCCGGGACCAAGGCGAAGCTCCAAGGATGTAATGTACGATCTTGAGCTTGGCTTCATACGAGCCAAGAGCGGCTTCTTACTTTTGAAGTACTTGCCCGGGTGTGTTGGGAAAATGCGGAACGGGCGGCTGCTGTAGAAGTAGTGAGAGACTTCCTGATAGACAGTGCGGCAAGTTCTTTGGATTCCGAGCTTTTTGTGGTAGGTCTTGTAGTTGTCTGGGTCGAGGTCCACGACGCCACCACTTCCTTCAAAATAATAGTCGTAAATCTTGAGGCGAAGTTCTGATGGCAAAGCCATGAACGCAAAAGGCTTAGCCTTCCTCCTGGCTGCTCTTCTCTCGCTCAGAGTGAGAGAGCCGATGCTGTCTCCGAGTGCATCTATTTCAACTTCGGAGGCATACGTCGACGGGTAGGCGGAGCTTAGTGGTGTGGTAAGAGTAGATGCAATCGGTGTCGGGTCGAGTGATGAGCCGGCGGCTCTCGATATCTTGCCGCGGCGAACCATTGTTGCGGACAGTGGCTCGGGTTGATATCCGTGATGCTACGGTATCTTGGATTGTTGAATCCTTTCCAGGTATTCAATGTATACTCAAGATGTTGAGGCTTTGGTAATGCGCCAACAGTGTTGGTGGGTAGGAGCGTCGGGAGTGGCGGGGTGGCGGGGCGATTTTTCCCTCAATGAATGGTATCTAGTGGTTATGTGCAGAGATTTCAACAGCTTTGTGTTTAGTTTGTTTGATTGGTGAGGTTGTTGCAGGTCGACAGACAGTCTCGCAGAGCGTAGTGAATCACAGAGGGTGGTCCCATTGTGATCGTTGATGCGAACTTGGGGACCACCCTCTAGAATTCACCACGCGCGACGGCCATGGTGACGATAGAGGGAATTGTGACGGTGCTAGGTTGATTTGGACGGCTTGTGTTGATGTGTCTGTATCTGAGGGATTCGGCCAGGTTAGGTGAGGTTCGAGGGTATTCTTCGAGGGGTGCAACAAGTGGGAAATGCGAAGTGGAAAGAGTTGCGGATGGAAGCACTGGGGGTATGGCGCAGTTATGAGGGGGGGCAGCACTCAGGATGGACGGACACTCGGTGGGCGGTGGTGGATGCAGCTCATGCATGAAGGTCACTGCCGGAGGGGACGAAGGACATCCATCCATCAGTCGCGCGTCCACCATTCGGACAAGGTTCGCACGTGAGCCCCTTCCCAGAGGACGTGCACCCGAGTTACTAAGCAGATGAGAACTATAACCAATCATTGCTGGGGAGAACCAAAGGTGGGACAGCATCTACATCGATAATGACCTCATTCGAGGTTCCTTATCCGTGCAGTGCCTTACCTAAGCGTACAGTTATCGCCGATGGAGATAGTCGGAGAATACTCGGCACCCAGTCGTTACCTTGGTGGATCAACGCTTTTTTGCAGTTTCCTTCTCACCCTGGCCACAGTGGCACCAGCTCCCTGGGGCACCTTCCAGGTTCTGCAGAACAGCCACTTCACAGTGAAGTTCCAGGTCCCAAGCTTCTCAAGGCACCGTGCACCCAACGAGCTGTCATTCGTTCCCCTGGTCAGAAAGTTCCAAGGTGGTCCGGACAGTGTGCTTCCTCGTCGAAAATTTCTAGTGCCTTCGTCAGGAATATCGCCAAACCCACTCCACCTCGACCTCACACGCCTGCACCAGCATCTTTTCCCGTCAGCTGGCGCAACACGTACGTCCCCATCATCTATCAACTTTTAGATCAAGACAACGGTCCAGCTTCGAAGCCATCAATACCTAGCCACGTCCACATTGGCCCTTGAAACGCCATGCTGTCAAGGGCAGCTCGCATCGCGCGTCTGCAGCCCACTGCAGCGCAGCTCTACCGCTCTGTCGCAACACCAGCTGCGAGGAGACCCGAGTTCCTAGCTTCATCATGGACTAGGGGCTTTGCGCAGGACAATAAGCCGAAAGGCTCCCCTTCAGATAAGCCGATTGACCAGCAAAAGTCTTCTGAATCGACGCAAGAGGAGACCTCGGCGTCGTCAAGTCCCGAATACAAAGCAGCGTACGAAGAGGCTGCCGAAGCTTCATCCAAGACATCCTCAACACAAACTCCCAAATCCGACGCCGAGAATGCCGCCGATAAGACCGAAGCTCCTGAGCCTGCCGCACCTACCGGCCCACTACCCGACCTCACCCAGGGAATCCCCTCCACCCTAGCATACGAGATGTCTGGTGCGACAAACAAGGCCGCGCTGGCTGCCCTCGCTGAAGAAGAGGCTGTGGCCCAGGGCGGCGGTCGCGGGCGTGGAGAGCTTCCCGACTCGGCATACGTCTCATCAACAGACAGGAAAAGACAGCAGTTTGCGAGCCGCATGTTCCTCGCCTTCGTCGGCTTCGGGGCTGCCGGTGCCGTCTACCTTGGCCGCAACTGGGAAGACAAGGCAGACGAGCTCCGGCACGCCGAGGATGCACCGAACGGATGGGGGTTCGGCGCTTGGTGGAACAGAGTCACCGCCCGTACCGGCGACTTCTTGAACTACTACCAGGAGCCTGCCTTTGAGAAGCTGCTCCCTGATCCCGATCCGTCTTTTGAGCGTCCCTACACCCTGTGTATCAGCTTGGAAGATATGCTCGTTCACAGCGAGTGGACGCGCGAGCACGGTTGGAGAGTGGCCAAGCGCCCCGGCGTTGACTATTTCCTGCGTTACCTGAGCCAGTACTACGAGTTGGTTCTCTTTACCAGCGTTCCTTTCGCCATTGGCGAGCCGCTTGTTCGCAAACTTGACCCCTACCGCTTCATCATGTGGCCCCTCTACCGCGAGGCGACCAAGTACAAGGATGGTGAAGTCGTCAAGGTTCGTAGAATGCCCCTCAACCATTCTCTGTACTACCTCTAATCCGGATGCAGGATCTGTCTTACCTCAATCGCGACCTGTCCAAGGTGATCATTATCGACAGCAGCGACAAGCACGTCCAGAACCAGCCAGAGAACGCCATTGTTCTTCCCAAGTGGAAGGGCGAGTCCAAGGACAAGGAGCTTGTCAGCCTGATTCCCTTTCTCGAGTACATCCACACCATGCAGTACGGCGATGTTCGCAAGGTCCTCAAGTCATTCGAGGGCAAGCACATTCCTACCGAGTTTGCTCGCCGCGAGGCGATTGCACGTGCCGAGTTCAACAAGCAGGTGGAAGCCAAGAAGAAGAAGGCGCCTTCAGGCATGGGCTTGCTGGGTGGCATGCTCGGCCTCAAGCCCTCTAACATGGCCTTGATGGTTTCCCCCGATGGTGAACAGAACCCCCACGAGGCTCTCGCCCAGGGTAAGATGCTCCAGGATATCGCCCGTGAGCGCGGCCAGCGCAACTACGAGATGCTCGAGAAGGAGATTCGCGAAAACGGTGAAAAGTGGCTCAAGGAGGAAGCTGCCATGCAGGAGAAGGCCCAGCAGGAAGCCATGCAGAGCATGATGGGCTCCTTCAGCGGATGGTTCGTTAAGGGCGACGACGCCAGCAAGAAGCAGTAAAGAGGGGGCTGCCACGCACGACCAAAATCCCTTGGCTAATCAGCACATCTTGTGCTTTCCACAAAGACCCATTTCTTCTCTCTTCTTACCAAAACTATTTGTATTTGTATTATCAGGCAAGCTTGGGCGGCGAAGAGGCGTCCCAACTTGCATATAGACTTGACGACGTAGGTCTGCATATGTACGAATCTCTGTATACTACTACAATGCCAGAACACCTCTATGAGGGAATGGCTCAATCAAAGTTGGCGTACCATTGTGCGATGTAAAGCCAAGCTGTAATCGAGTGGCGCAGTTAGATCAACGTATAACCTAGGGGTTGACTCATTATTGCCAGATTCTGTAGTTGATATCTATTGTTCATTACTATAAGCCTATGGGTTTCCAGCCCACTGTCCGTCGCTCATCATCAATCATCGTAGGCCGTGCTACTATTCGCCATCATCACGTACCTCCAGTGGGCGGTATCCTAATTCAGCTTTCCAAATATCCTCCATTGAGCGAAACTCAGCTAGCTACCAAGACTTCCGTGAGGCTGAGAATGCTTAAGCTGGGTGAGGGTTCTTCTTCATCCCTACTCTCGCACACTGCTCGCAGTTGGGGTTTGTGATGCATTGGAAGAATCTGCCAATGATTAGTCTACTGGCAATGACTCGATCGCAACACTCTTTTGTGAAAAGTACGAAATTGCAAAGTGATTAGGATCCCACGTACCCGTCTCTGTCTTTTCCTTTCAAGTCGTCGCAGCGGCAGGCCAACTGACAGTAGTGCCATAATGGGTTGAATGGCGGTGTCTTTCCTGCCTCGATGAGAGGGTCCGCTTCGGCAAGGGAGCTGGTGTCTGGCTTTTGTGTGGTTGGCGCGGCCAGACCGTGTGCCGTGAAGAGGGTGAAAAGTGTAACTTGGAAGAAGCGCATGTTGTTACGGTATCGAGAACCAGTCTATAAGCCTTGTTTCCAAAAGTGGTGTTGAACGGTAAATATAGAGTAGAGTGCCAAATGTTGCGGTTGCGAAGACTCGAGGTTATATTGCAATGTTGGCTGATGTCGATGCTTTTAATTCATGTCCTCAACCTCGCCGTTGCCCTGGATTATATTCCCGTAACGCCTTGAAAAAAACTGTCTTCTTTTCCAGGCTTTGATATCCAAGCCATGAACCAGTATCACCGCAAGATCATCTGCATCAATGTTTGCGGTTCACTCAGCATGAGGCTGCACGAGGAAGTACAGGCTGGCACAGCAACAATGCTATCAGGGTGACAATGCTTCCTGGTCTGGTGACGATTTCTGTGTTTCTCGATATCCCCGAGATACTTCACGGCTTTTGAAAGACCAGCTCAATATTGGGTATTCTGGGATCGAAAAGGTCCGAAAGAGCTCATATGACCAAAGAATGAATGCCTGGATTCCTGTCGAGTGTCGTGCAAAAGGTCGTACCAGTATAACCTCGATGGATGGCGAAACAGCAACAGGGCAACACTTATAGAATCCATCATGAGATCTTTCGCCTTGTTCTCCCCGGTAAGCAGGGCAACCGGCGTCCAGCAAGGGAGGCCGGTAGGCATACGAGGGAATTGGACAAAAGAAGTGCGACAAAAACGGCCTTCCAGTGCTGTCATAGAATCGGACTTGCGTCCATGGCACTTGTACGACGTGACAAGGTCGCGTTTTCGCGGAGTCGAAGCTACTTGACCCAGTCCAGCTGGTATCGTCTGGAACGTATCGACATTACGTCCCCGAATGAATTGATGGATGCATTGCACACCCTCAGATGTAGTAACGTAACCATCAATCGCACAGAAGTTGTACGAGACCACATGGCGGTGAGACATCTCGCAGTAGATCAGGTACGCAGCGCAATCTGGCAGCTCTGCGCAGGGTCGTCCCCCATAGTTCAGCGCTGGCAAGCGGCAGAGAACACAGCTTGATCTATTCTAATATCGCAAGCTGGACGTGTGAGCTGAACGCCTAACCCATTGCCTCACCGCGGAGCTGTCCGGACGTGTTGGCTTGGGGGATGTGTCGTGGAACTTAGGGCAAGGGGCAGCTGCTGGGTCCTTCGCGACTGGTGAAAGATATCCGTAACAGCTCGGGTGTACAAGCCCAAGGTTCTATCACCGACAGCGCTGTCCTTATACTTATGCATCATAAAGGCGATGGATGGACACTGTTGCCATCGTAACGAAAAAGGTCAGACATAATATCACAGCATGCCGGATGGAAATTGCAAGAACGATGCGAGTAATGCTACAAAATGAGATTGTATACTAGAAATGAGACAAGGCTTTTCCTGGCCGGGTATTTGAGCAACATTATTATGAATTGGCCTCCCCTTTTTGAACCATCTTCTTTTCCTCCGGGATTGGTGCTGGTGCTGGTGCTGCAACGCTGGCACTGCTTGTCGCTGTCACGACTAAAACGCCGTACGCAACAAGTGCTACGACTGCAATGAAGTCGATGATGTGGACGAACCACCAAAAGTGCTGGGTGCCCAAGGCGCAAGTTGCATATTCAAATTGCCAGGTCCACGTAGTCTCGTCAAACCAGGCGCTGAGCAGACCTGCGTTGCCGCCAAAGTCGCCCATCATGCTCCTAACCGTGATCTCCCTCAGCCCCGGAGCACCAGCTGCGCCGACTGCGCCGCGGCTCTTTGCGGTCGGCCAGGTTTCGACCTCCCATGACCGATCTTGTTGGTCTGGTTTCGTCTGGTTGACGTAGTGGTACGTGTCACAGCCCTCGTGATCGTGGCCGTTCAAGATGACGCCGCGGCGACCTTTGCCGTTGCCGGGCGCCTCCGTGTTACCGCTCATGCCAAAGATGCCCTCGAGGAAGCCCTTGCTCGCGTCAGCCGAGAGCAGGTTCTGCTCCTTGACTCCGCCACCGTCGTGGTCGCCGTGAAAGTCGAAAAAGGGCGCGTCGACGCAAACACCTTCAGGCTTGTACAACGGGATGTGAGTCAGCACAACGGTGAAATGGCCGCTGTATTCTACCGCTGCCGAAGTCTCAATGACTGCGTTGATGAAGGCATATGTGTCGTCTTGGAGGGACGTGTCTTTGGCCGGAGTATCCAAATTCATGTCGTTCAGGACAATGACGCGAATCTCTGGGGCCAGGCGATCGGACTCGGGATTTTGCTCGTCGTCCACAATGGTGGCGTTGAGTTTCGGGTCTTGGATGGGGAGCTCGAAGCGTAGCTCATAGTTTGCCTTGCCAAAGAGGCGCTCGAACCGGCCGAAGCGGTCTTGATTGATATCGCCGGCGTAACCAATGTCGTGGTTGCCGGCCACGTTGATGACACGGCGCGGCCACACAGCAGAGGGCTCACCAGAGACGGAAAGGTAGTCAGTGAGGTCATACTCCATGGCCGGGAACACTGCAGCTTCGTCTGGAACCCTCTCGGCCCCTCGCACCACGCGATCCCAATACCGACGGCCGCGGCGCCGGAACTCTTCAATGCCAATCCACTGGCTGCCCAAGAGGTCCCCGAGCACGGTAACGTGGGTAGGGCGAGTCCACCAGTGTACCGTTCGGAAGATATGTGCCAGGTAAAAGTCGTTGCCAAAGAGGTCTATCCGCTTGCGAATGGACTCGAGCTCGTCAAAGACGTCCTCCCAGAAGATATCGACAATGTCGTGCAGAGAGTGACGAATGCGCTGGCGCAGCGAGTGACTCGATCCAAAGGTCACATGGGACCATAGACTTCTCGCGTGAGGGAAGATTGGGCCATTGTGTTTTCGAATGGACGTGTCGCCCTCGAGCTGGGGGTCACCAAGCGCAAGAAGGCGGAAAGGCGCGGGGCGAGCTTCGCTTGATCGTAGGGGGATTGGTAGAGGAATATGTTGTCGCGCGGCTTCGAGGAAAGCAGCGGCGCTGCTGTCGGCGACATGGCTCGGACTCGTCGATGCGCTGCCGGTTGGAGCGACAGGGAATGCGCATCCCAAGAAGACGGGATAGAGATAGAGCCAAAAGGTCGAGATTACCGCCAGCGGCAGCAGGAGGCGGAGGCCATGGCGGAGGAGGGCCACTAGGGACATGTAGACGGCAGCATGAAGCAGAAGTCAATGACTCTGCAGCTGTGTTCGGTGTCGAGCCTCCTTGATGTGAAAAGAGGGATATGAAGCCGAAAGAAAAGATTAGTCTAGTCGTATGAATAATTACAGTCGAGTTGGAAAGGGAAGAAAAATAATCACAATAATAATACGGAGTAGTTCCTCCTGTTTCGTCCAGCTTTCCGTCGCAATTTGCGTTCGGGGGTGACATGGGACGGAACATGTGTGGAAAAGGGGTCCAAATGGATACCTAGCTACAGCGACAGCAACCCTGACCAGGGCGCCAGGCACTGTGTCTAGGCACCTGGGGTGCCCCCGTGCTCCGTAGTGGAGACCATTTCACCTGCTGTAAAGTAGCCGGGTCCAGGCCACCGACGTCATTTGTTCCAGGCACTGTCCTAATCGTAAGGTAATTTCTTGCCTCGATGCAATGCGCAATGAATGCATCTTCCTACCAATTGCGGTTCAATTTCACATGTTCTTTGCATTAAACAAAGCCACAAGAAGCCTTTAGACTGTGATGTACCAATAAGTCCCGAATTCTAAGGGCCAGATGTGCTTACGCAAAGGTCTCCAGTCGTGGCAGTCATGACGAACTGTCTTAGGTAGCCTGCTAACTTAAAAACAAGCTTGTTTCGATGCCCAGAACTTTTTGGATGTTCGCTTTACTATCTATGAGTGTGAGTTAGCCAAGGCGTTATCTTTCATTGCCTGGTATTCATGCATCTGTGCAGACAGATGTTGTTGTGTGTCTGTGAAAGGCCACTCCTTTCAAGTTTGACGCACATGATTCATAATTCTGCGACCCCATCGCCCAACGCCATGCGTGTATCGTTTTTGAAATCCCAAGTGTTATCCATCATGCGTCCGACCCCATGCCCTCTTCATCCTCCATCTCATCATCCAGGGTCGGGATATCGACCAAGAACTCAGGCTCATCTGTATCAAACGAGAATGCGACAATGCAATTATCTTTGAAGCCCTTGCCAACTGGCGTATCGCTGTCAGAAACCTTGATATTCTTCCATCCTTGAGTCAAATCGGTGGCATTGACTGGCAGGGCATAAGCCAGTTGTACGTCGCCTTCAGGAACGGCGGTTGTCTCGGGGGAAGTGTGGTTGATTGTAAGGCCATCGGGGAAGCGATCGCGGAGCACCTCGAGCAGCGATGTGGTTACTTCGGAGAATTGCTGTTGGCCGTCGACAAACATCAAGATGGTGTGGGCACCGTACTTGAAGCGTACCGAGAAGAAGGTCTCGTCGATCTGCTGATCAAGAGTGTTAGTACGATAAGGTTTCGAAAGGCAGCGACCTATTTTCATACCATGTTTGCGAGGTGTACCTGTTCTACCTTATGGAGATTGAATGCAAGGTGTTGGAGGCGACAGTAGGACGTCGCAAACCAAGATGTTGGTTGGGGATCGTCGGTGGGTGAAGAACTATGGCAAGGTACCTTACTTTCTCTCAGGTGGCAGCTGTCAGGTAAGCAGCGGGGAAGTCGCGACCGACAGAGCTTGGGACCGCGGGGCACTTTCCCCAATGCGAAATCACATGACTTCGTGTTGTATGAAGAGATGGCCCAAGCTGCCAGGAGCTGACGGATCACGGACTTCTGCACCTGAGGTGAGCACATTGGCCGTGCATCCCGGTCTTCGTCACCAAAGTCTTCAATTGCCAACAGCCACAAGCTGTCCGCTCTTCCAAGATGTCTGAATACGCCAATGAAAATCACAAAACACAACTCGGAACCGATTATCCTCCCAGTATCGATCCCACCATGGCCGAACGACCGCAGATGACGTTGGCCGAGAGCCTCAGTTTCGGCCAGAAGCCTTCCGAGGCACGCCTCTCCATCCCGACACCAGCACGAATCCCGCTCGCAGGGCTTATTGGATTTGGCATCGGAACTACTTTGGGTCTCGCCCATGGAGGTCGCATAGCTCAGCTGCGCTTCCGTGCTGAGCACGCGCACAAGATGCCAACAACGACGACCGGATGGTATCTCTACCACAAGAGCAAGAACTACCACACCATGTACGGCGGCCTCAGGGAAGGCTTGACCATGGGAGCCAGACTTAGTTTCTGGACCCTCATGGCCTTTGGCTTGGAGAGCACCATCGACCGGTATCGAGGCCAGAGCGATCTCATCAGTACCGTCTCCGCCAGTTTGACCGTGGCCGGTACTTTCAGTCTGTGGAGTAGGTCAACTCCGTCCCATGCAGGCGCATGTATGCGCGTACTAATAGGTCTTGTTCAATCTAGATCGCTTCTCTCTTCCAACGGCAGCTCGCACAGCAAGATATGGCCTCCTCTTTGGACTGGTATACGGTGGATTACAGGACGCTGTTGGTCTTGCTCGGGGCCGTCCCATTGGCTATGTGGAATCTCTACGCAGGCGGTTTGGATCTGGCAAGACACCGAAGGCCGATCAGCCTCAGAGTGGTTAATTCGAGATTCTCCACCGGGAAAGCGGACCTCATTGCAAAAAAAAAAAACCGTCCTTCAGGTGCTGTGTAACCACGGATTGTTGGTTGCGCTGAGGATCGCCGAGCCGAGCCAAGCCTGCGTGAAGCAGAAAGCCCCGAAGCTGGCGCGTGACCGCCGCATTGCGAAGGAGAAGGAATCCGCAGGCTATTGCGCCGCCCGATTCAATATGGCCTAGCTGGCCCTATGCCGCGCGAAACTGAGACAGTGTACCACAGGACATCGCCGCAGTACCCTACGCCTGCTCAAGTACCAAGATGGCCGGCCATCTAGTTGACTGCAGATGGAAGGTCACAATCACTAGAATGTTCGAGTCGCAGAATATCCTGGTTGCATCGAAACCATCTTGATGGAACCCAATCGCACCGCCATCACAGGTCAAGGCCATTCGCCAATGGGAGGCTTCGCAAATTGCTCTGCATCATCGCCAGGGTCCGTCCGAACGCTCCGCCTCCGCCAGTCGGCTATCTCTCTGAGGCACAAGACCTCCACGTGACGGGTCTGTGGGAAGAGGTAAGGGGGGCCTTGGTTCAACTTGACCAAAGCCATCGTTGGCTATTTGACCTGCCTCGGCGCACAGCTATACCTCATCTTCTTGGCCATTGACACTGGCCTACCTGAGATTACGGCACAGTCCGTGAGACGGCCTTGGGACTGACTGTCTGTGGGTTCGGGCGTCTTGCAAAGACTGCTAGATAAAGGCTATGTCATGTGTAGGGTTGTCGAGTACAGTACCTACCTACCTTGTAGTACCTCTCGCGCCGATATTCCATGTCACTAAGTAAATAACTATCCATCAATCAAGCCTACCTTAGAAATAGGCAACCACCCCTCTGCCCTACTCCGCTACCAAGCTTTGTTTCCTCAACTCGCATTGATCATTGCATTTTCCAAGGCATCCTAAGCCTCAGCTTCTACAAAGGGCGCGTTTACCTTGCGGTCCTTGAGCCGCGGGCATGTTTGCACCTACTCAACAATACAGCATTGCTCTTAGTAGAAGACCATTGCATGCCGCCTTCCTATCGTCTGCCTCGCGCGCTGGATTTCGACAACATGGCAGCTTCCCTCCCATGAGTACATTGGAAAGATCCATCCATCTGTCTACGAGGTGGCCTTTGTTGAATAATCAGCTCTTAGACGCAGACACGACACCTACACACCTGGCACTCGAACGTAAGACACCATCATCGACAATAATATCCTCATCACCACCATCAATGGGCCCACCAACATCCTTATCCATCCTTCCACTGAACGTCATCGTCCGCTCCCTACTGACATCAACAATATCCTCCTCGCCTATCCTTCTTCCGCCCTCGCTATGGCTAATGTCCGTCCTTGCACACGCTACCAATCCACTGCTCAACCCAGACAAGAACCCGCTCCTGCGTTTCTTCCTAAAGAAAACAGTTTACGCACACTTCTGCGCCGGAGAAACTCCAGCCGAAGTTGGTCGAACCATCAAGGGTCTCAAAGACATTGGGTTCTCGGGTGTCATACTGGGATACGCAAAGGAGGTTGCCTTGGCCAACGCTCAGAAAAAGGAATTGGGTGCTTGTAGCCAAGGCAAGATTGCGGAAGAGTGCAATCGCAATGAGATTATTCCTTGGGCCACAGGTACCTTGAAGACAGTACAGCTGACAGAACCAGGAGACTTTGTTGCTCTCAAGTAGGAACCATTCATTTCATTTCTCCATCTTGATCCTTCAAACCACGTCTACTGACTGATTGTTCTGGCAGATTTACTGGTGCCGGTCGTCAAGCACTAGATTCTCTCGCAGAACGTTTGCCACGTTCTGCCGCTCTGACCGACGCCATCAACTCCGTCTGCTCTCTCGCTTCCGAGCGTGGTGTTCGCCTCTTGTTCGACGCTGAGCAGGCCTCTCTGCAGCCTGTTATCGACGATTGGACCATGGAGTACATGCGAAAGTACAATACCGCCCCAAGGCAAGCACTTGTCTACGGGACGTATCAGGCGTACCTAAAGTCAACCCCAGAGACGCTCTCAAGACATCTTCGAGTCGCAAGAGAAGAAGGCTTCACCTTGGGCGTAAAGCTTGTGCGCGGTGCATACATTGAAACCGACCCGAGACACCTCATCCACGAAACGAAAGAAGGCACGGATGCCTGCTACGATGGCATTGCCGAGAGTCTCCTCAGGAAACAATGGGGAAATGTTTTGCAGGGTGATCTCCGAATGCCATCAATCAGCTTGATCATTGCTTCCCACAATGCGGAGTCCGTCAGGCGGGCTCGAAAACTTTGTATCGATGGGGAAGCTTGTACTGAGGTAGTCTTTGCACAATTGCAAGGCATGGCGGACGAAGTTAGCTGCGAGCTAGTCTGTCCGACAGGTTCGGGCAATATGCGGGAGCAGAAGAGAGCAGAGTCCCAGGCCATCGAAGCGTACAAGTATCTCGTTTGGGGGTCGACTGGAGAATGCATGAAGTATCTCTTAAGAAGAGCGCATGAAAATCGGGATGCGGTACAGCGAACACGAAGTGGACGCAATGCGATGTTCAGTGAATTGGTGAGGAGAATGAAGAGTAGTATGGGGGTATCCGTCTAAACTTGCGCGCATTTTTTGGAATTCGAAATCGTCCGGGCTGCGAGGAGTTGGATCCTAGGTACTGGGTTAGATATCCCTCGAGAACTAGAGCCTAGCAATTACGATTATATGACTTACGACAAATCCATTCAAAGAACAGAGGTGGATGACCTGTACGTTCCACGCATGCGCCGGCGTAGTTTGGCAGCTTATGCCGTGCGCAATGCCATTGCACCCAGAACCAGAGTCTCCAGCTGTTCTCTGCGCTCCGCTTCGTCCTTGATGGCGTCGAGCCATGCGAGACCGTTCAACTTATAGTACTTGCGCACCTTGGCCCAATCTGTCGATGTCGCAATGGATTCGTCCGTAAACGGGGTCGGGGTACCCTGGAAGTTATCCTTGAGATGTTGCTCCACGTCTTGGGCAGAGGGCGGGCCGCTCGGGGAGGTGATTTTGACGACGATCACGTCCTTGGTCGACGGGCTGATACCATAGCGACGGTAGGCTTCTGCAATCTAATTACCAGTTAGTGCCTGAACCCCAAAGTACCTGAAACCCAATTCTTGAAATCCAAGACAAGTCACCGTACATTGTTGGCAGAGCTGAGGGACGCGACGAGTTCGGAATGGACGTTTGGGGTCTTGAGGCTGCCGTCAACCTTTGCGGTCACGGCCTTGAAGGCCGCAGCCAGGATATGGGTTCGGGAGACGGCCTGTTGAAGTTTGTAATTAGCAGTCATTTCCGGCGCCTACTGCTTAGTGCAGATGGGCTGTGTGCCATACCACGGAGGCATCGATCAATGCATACTCAAAGTCTGCGTTGCGGTCGAGGAGCTGTTGGTGCAAAAAGGCAGCATTCTCGATCTCCTTGAAGAAAGCGACGTGAACGACGTGATCGGCAGGCACGTGATCGATGGGTATGGTTTCAATGATGGAGGACGACATGTTAGCTGCCTAGGTAGATGGAGACACAAAAATGTCAAGAATGAGATGGGAAGACGGATGAGAACGGAGCTGTGAGTGCCGGGTTTGGGAAGCTGAAGTGTGGTCTGGTCGAAAAGTATCGCGGGGTAAAACTTGGGAAGACTGAATTTCAGTTGAAGTTTGTTATCGAGCGCACGATAAACTTGGAGGGGCACGGCGCAATGGCGGGGTTCCCTGCCATGACATGAGGTGACCACGTCAGAATTACGGGCAGACAGCGCCTTAGCCGGGCCCACCTGCCCTACCTGCCTATTGCTGAGGTGTTTGCTGCAATTCAGGGCACTGCATTCTCACGATCCACGGCCTTTCTCCTCATCCGATCATCCACTTACTCTCTCACTCATGCCGTGACTTGCTCATTCAAAACCAAATACTCATTGAGACACTCATTGAGACACTCATTCAGTGAGTTGTCCCTTAACCAACCCTTGCCCGGATATGTTTTTCATTCCTCCGTCAAATTGCATCTTCCCACCCCGCTTCGGCACTAGCTGCATTGCACGTGTAAGAGACTAACACGATATCCCTCGAGGCTAAGAACCTTATTGAAGCCCTGCTAGGTACCTCTTGTTCTGTAGATATTAAGTTGCAGTCTGTTGGTCTTTTCATTATTCGATGCGGTAAAAATCCCCACGTCCTAGCAGCCTTATAAGTTAGAGTTTCCGCCCTAGTACGTCACCTAAGGTCTAGCATTTGCGCTTCTTTCATTCTCGGATCCCGGTTGAGGTCTACTTTGCTGGAAAACTTGGACTTAGAATTATCAACTTACTCGATATACAATTTCGCCTTCGTTGTTCTTGTCAGGCCCCAAGCAAAAGCGCACCAATGGGTACTTTATTTCTCAGCTATCACTGGTGTGCCTTGGAGGCCGGCCGAAAGGGGCTCCGAATAGTTGTATTCGTTCGAGATCCAATCAGAGCTAAACAATTGACACGAATCTATCCATTCGATTTGAACGGGGTGGAATCTGAGTCACTTTGCATTGGTGAGCCACGCGAGAAGTCCAGACACGTTCTGGATCGAGCAGTTTTGGCATATGATGAAGCAGAAATGTGTCACTTGGACAACATTCTCATCTTCGACCCAACTTGTCGTCCGTCCATGGACAAAGACGTGTTTGCAACAGGCATGTCAGTTGGCCCAACTCTTCGGACGCATCGACCTCTGGCATGGACCTCATCGTCCTCGGCAGCCCTGCTGTGACGCGGCACTCACGGGCTAGGTGAAGACGTGTTTCCGATGTTGGTTTCCCTGCTCGTCTCCGCGATTCAGCCTTCAATAGCAGGTTAATGATGGCGATGTGTACGTGCCATGTAAACGGTGACATCTGAGGTTGGGCGAGACTTTCATAACCATAGACGTCTGGTAGTTCTGTTCAAAGCCATCATCGAAGAGGAATAGCTAACAAGGCTTGGCATTTCGTCTCTGGGCTGTATGTGCATGCTTTCATGAAGAGAGTGACGGCAGCCGACTTACTCGAAGAAGAAATGTTGACTCGGTTCCATGTTCTCGGATTGACTTGCCGTAGGGCGTCTCGCTCATTAAGGCGTCTCATGTGGAACAAAGCAGACGTTGCCCGAATCCGGGGCGGCACAGGTAGTTGGTTACATCTTCCAGCCATGCCCGCGTGCCTTGTACCGTTACTTGACTCCGATGACTTCCCTCGGCGGCGTTGCCGCGTACCTAGTCTACGGACGAGGAAAGACTTGCCGCAAGCTGAGCATGGTTGAGTGATACTTGGGCCGATACCTACGTTCGCAGCAAGAACACAAAGGAGGCTCGTAGGCTCCCTTTGAAGGACCCGGTCACGACAAGCCAGACTACGCTTGAAAGTCTAGTGAGACATGGACAGGGCATCTTGGGGGAGGGACAACGAGGCAGGCAGATGGGACCATGAACACATGGGTCTGTCGACCGTAAAGGAGGGTCGGTTGCAATCGTGTCAAGCTGGTGGTAGGACAACAACGGACAGGCTGAGTCTGGACGGATAGTTCTGAGGGCTAGACTTTGAAATGTAATACATTCGTACTCATTTTAGTATTAGTTTACGGCCTTGGCCCTGGCACTAGAACCTTGGAACACTGGGATCTCTCGTTCCCGTCCATTGTCGGCCGACGCCACGATGCGCCACTTCATCGCTCATCGAATCTCATCGACTCGATTTTCGTTGGACCCAATCTTGAACCCAAACGAACTTGAATTCGTATGCTTGGCTTGGCATGCTGAGAGATGCGCATCTTTCTTCCTCGTCTGCCTGTTTCACTCACCAGAAATCTCCTGAGGGCTCGGCGTTGAAAGTCGAATAGTCCGGCATCTCCTATTTCCCATCTCATCACAAACCATACCGCTCTTACTCATTCCTTACATACAACGAGTGCTTGGTACCTGGATCATTGTATTGCAAGCCCTTGGCCCGAGAAAGACTTACTTACATCTTGCTGTTGAACTTTATGAGGATTCAGCACTACCTACCGCTCGTCCAATCTTACCAAGTCTCACTTCAGTCAGTGTCCAGACTCCACACCTCTCACTCCTCTTACTTTCAAGTCTGAGCTACTGGAATGCGTTATCAGCAAGCCTGATTGGGAGTTTAGGTCTCATCAGTAGATCTAGAGCACTGCGCGTGTCAAGCGTCAAGCTAATCAAGTGTCAAGCGTTCTTGGAGTTGGCATGTACAGCTCTTAGTGAACGAACGGGTCAAGTGCGTCTCAGATTCTTAGTGAGTAAGTTCAAGCTCGGTGAGGCAAGGTCCCTCACAGGTTCAATTACGGGTAGCTTGGCCTGGAACCCGCCCGCCGTGCCGCCCTCCCGCATCCCGACAGGTTGGGAGCACCTCGCCCCCTGTGCCGCAGTGCGTTTGCGTTTGCGTTTGCCATCAGCTCCCGCGCCCCAGTTGCGTCCGGTACGGATACCTTCCCTTAGGTAGCACGGGTAGGTAGGTACCTTACCTTACTGATCCCCCCCCTCCGGCACTGGATGCTTTCCCCCCCGGCTCTCCTTCCGGCACCTCAGCACTGAGCAGCGCACAGCTCTCCTAAAAGCGCGGCAACCTCCATCATCCACGGCAATCCCCGTCGCGACTTTCTTCCCGTCCCGCGCGTCGCCAGTGACACTTTATTCTTCGCTCCAATTTGCGCCAATTTCGAGTTACAATTTCTTACCGAAAGAGAGGAGGGAGAAGAAGAAAAAGAGGGAGAGAAAACAATAGACCATGCCGGGTCGCCCGCCCAAGCGACCGGCTGAAGCTGGCGATGCAGCTACTCCCTCTGAAGATGTCGCCTCCACCACACCCGCGCCCAAGGTGAAGCTGCCGAGACTCGACAAGGGCGGCCAGGAAGACTTCTCCTCTGTTGTCAAGAACCGCCTGTCGTCGTACACTCGGACAGGTCAGGCCTGCGACAGATGCAAGGTGCGTCTTGACTACTCTTCTTGAGTTCGTACCGAGCTCTTCACGATACTGCATCGCCCCATTATCACATTCCCGCTCGCATCTTTAGCCTCTCCGTACTAACCCTCGTGACAATAACCGTTAGGTCAGAAAGATTCGATGCGATGCCCTCCCCGAAGGATGCTCCCATTGCATCAGCCAGAATCTCGACTGCTTCGTCACCGATCGCGTCACTGGCCGAACCGAAAGAAGAGGCTACCTCCAGGAGCTCGAAAGGGAAAAGACCGACATGATGAACCACATCCGCGAACTCGAAAAGCTGCTCGAGAACAACGGCACCGAGGTCAAACCGTACCAATGGTCTCCGTACGCCATAAACTACCCGACTCCTGGCGCAACCTATGACCACATGGGCAATGCCATCGAAGACCCCAACGAGAAGGATGCCTGGACCAAGGTCGGTTCCGTCTGGGTCAAGAACTACAACTACAAACCTGCCGGTGGTCGCTCATTCCCTCGATCGACGCTCGAATCACGTCCCGTCCATAATCATCTGGGCGTGGGCTCTGACAGTGCACCCCTCAGCTCAATCAAGGGCACCCAGTTGTCCATTTTGGGAACGACAATCGACGTCACCTCGTTCGATGCCCCCGACATTGACGAGCCGATACCAGACGCCAAGGATGCGCAGCCTCTGTATAACAAGTCTCTACAATCCTTTCTGCAGTCCAGCATGAACATCAATCCTACAGTCAACATTGAGCTTCCTTCAAGGAGCGACGCCTTCACTTACTCGGAATGGTACTTTCTCATGATTTGGCCTTTTCTGCCAGTCCTGCACAAGCCTAGCTTCATGAACATCGTAAGTAGGCCAATGTCGATTCAAGTTTGCCAGCTCTGACCATCTATAGCTCACTCGTATGTACGACGAACCCGGCTTCGAAGCAAGTGTGCCTGACCAGGTCATGGTACACATGGTTTTTGCGACCATTTACTTCCAATACGGCGTGCGAAACTGGGAACAGCAGGAAACACGATCCCAACTCAATGAACTGTCGAACAAGCATTATCACTATGCTTTGAGCAAAATGTTTGACTTGGCATCCTCGCAATCAGTGGCAGCGGTGCAGGCCATGGCGATGATTTGCGCTCACAGCCGTAGCTTCCCCAAGCCAGGGTGCGGCTCCATGGTCACCAACTTTGCCTTCCACCGCGCTATCGACCTGAATATGCACCGCGCCATGAAGGGACCAGGCGAGACGACGAATCTTGAGAACGAGATCCGTAAGCGCACTTGGTGGACCATCCTTCTCGTCTATGTCACTCTGAACGGGCGCCTTGGGCGGCCTATGCCTATCACGGTTGAGGAGTACGATGTCGAGTTTCCCGAGCCGATCGCCGACGAGGCCCTGACGCCAGACGGCGTCGACCCGTCGGTAACGACGCCTTGTACGTATCACGTTGGGCTGGCAGGCTTCAAGATCTTGCCATTATTCATGGAGATGTACTCCAACATCTACAGCGTCAAGCGCGACCCCAAGAGTTACGTTGATGTTGTCAACTCTCTAGAAGA